GAGTTGCATTCTTCCATCTCAAACCTCTTGAGAATTTCTCCTGCATATCTTCTTTGATGCATCATCAAACCTCTACTGCTCTTGTAGAATTCGATACCAAGGAAATATGAAATCTCACCCAAATCAGACATTTCGAATTCCTTGCTGAGATCACCTTTGAAGTCTTCGATCTCACTCTTGCAGCTACCTGTTATCAACAAATCATCTACATAGAGACATAGTATAAGCAATTTACTCTTGCTTCTTCTTACATATACTCCATGTTCAGTTGTGCACTTCACAAATTCCTTCTCCCTTAGAAAACTATCAATTTTCTTATTCCAAGCCCTTGGAGCTTGTTTCAATCCATATAGGGCTTTATGTAGCCTGTACACCTTTCTTTCTTCGTCATGTTTCACAAACCCAACTGGTTGTTTAACATAGACTTCTTCATCTAAGGGTCCATTTAGGAATGCACACTTCACGTCCATCTGACATATGTGCCAACTGTTTATTTCTGCTAGACCAACAACCAACCTGATTGTTTCGATCCTAGCAACAGGTGCAAAAACTTCGTCGAAGTCTATTCCTTCTTTCTGTAGAAATCTTTTCGCCACAAGTCTTGCTTTGTGTCGAGTTACTTCACCTTTCGAATTCGTTTTCACTTTGTATACCCACTTGACATCAATTGCCTTCTTGCCTTAAGGCAATTCGACAAGTGACCAAGTGTTGTTGTCTTCGATAGACTTTACTTCTTCGTTCATTGCTTTCACCCACTTCGAATCTTTTAATGCTTCAGCTGCATTAACAGGTTCGACATCTGCATAGAAAGCACAATGTACCAGCTCTCCTTCATTATCTATTACATCATCTGATGTAATCACACAATCTTGCAATCTTGCAGGCATGCGTCTTGTTCTTTGAGGTCTGCTTGTACTTGGTATATCTGCTGGTTCCTCTTGTCGAACTTCTCTTTCGACTTGAGTTTCTGGCTCTTCGAATAGGATTCCCACTGAATCTTTCTTGACATTTGCAGTCCAATCCCATTCTTTAAACTCATTTATGATCACGTCCCTGCTGATCACAATCTTCTTGTTCTCTGGATCGAACAACTTGTAGCCTCATGTCGAATGATATCCAACTAGAATCATTTGACTTGACTTATCATCAAGTTTTCTTCTTAACTGATTTGGCACATGTCTATGTGCAATAGATCCAAATACCTTCAGATGGCTCAAGCTAGGTTTCACACCAGACCAACATTCTTCTAGAGTAATTCCTTCTAACTTCTTTGTAGGACATCTGTTCAAAATGTATGTTGCAGTCGAAACAACTTCACCCCAAAACTCTTTAGGTAAACTCTTGCCTTTCAACATACTTCTCACCATATTCATGATGGTTCGATTTTTTCTTTATGCAATTCCATTTTGTTGTGGAGTATAGGGTGGCACCACCTCATGCACAATCCCTTCCTTTTCACATAATCTATCGAAGTCTTTCGACACATATTCTCCTTCACCATCAGTTCTCAAAACTTTGAGCTTTCGACCACTTTGTCTTTCGACCATAGACTTAAACCTGGTAAATACTTCGATCACTTCACTTTTCTTCTTGATCAGGTAAGTCCATAACTTTCGACTGAAATCATCTATGAATGTAACAAAGTATTTGTTACCTCCCATCGAATCCACCTGGATTGGTCCACATACATCAGAGTATATGACTTCAAGACTAGCCTTCGATCTGCTTCCTGCATCCTTGCTGAAGCTATTCTTGTGTTGCTTCGCCTGCACACATTCTTCACATACTTCATTTGGAATGTCAATTTCAGGCAATCCTGAAACCATATTTCTTCTCTTCAAATCTCTGATGTCTCTGAAGTTGAGATGACTTAGTCTATAATTCCATATCCATTCATCTCTGCTAGCTGCAGTCGAAAGGAACTTGTGCTCCATCACATTTAGTTCAATCTTGAAGGTTCGATTCTGAGACATAGGAGCCTTCAAGATTAATCTCCCATTTGCATCAACAACTCTCATCAACTTATCTTCGATTGACACTTTATAATTCTTTTCGACCAACTGCCCTATACTGAGCAAATTGCTCTTCATGCCTGGTATGTACAATACATTTGAAATTACCGACTTCTTGCCATCTTTCCTCATGATCATAACATCACCAATACCTTCAGCTGCTAGGGTATTGTCATTTGCAAATTTTACCATATTTTTCGTTGAGGGTTTTATATTGACGAACCAGTCTTTCCTTCCAGACATATGTGATGAACATCCTGAATCCAAGTACCATTGGTCCTTGAATTTATCTTCATCTTTTGTTGTGACCATCAGCATCATCTCTTCTTCTTCTTCATGTTTTACAAGCTTTGCATCACTTTCTTGATTCTTTCATTTTTCTGGACAATCACTCGAATAGTGACCATACTTCTGACAATTGTAACATTGAATGTGACTCTTATCAGGTTTTCGACCACCACCTCTTCCTCTATTTGCAACACCACCTCTTTGGTTGCCTTGGTATGATCTTCTTTGATTCGACACGTCTCCTTCGATTTGGTTTCTTCTACCATTCGATTTGTTGTAGCCACCTCTACCTCTGTCGAAACACTTTCCTTTGCCTTTGGTCTCTTTTGCTGAATGTGTCTGCAAGGCCACATCATTCTTCGATTTTCCTGCAGCTCTTTCGTTCATTCTTTGTTCATGAGATTCAAGCGTCCCTTGAAGCTATTCCTTTGTCAATTTCGACAAGTCTTTCCCCTCTTCTATCGCCACCACTATGTGGTCGAACTTAGGAGCTAAAGATCTCAAGATCTTCGACACAACAGCTCTTGTTGTTAACGCTTCTCCACATATCTTGATTTGATTTACTAGTTTTGTAACTCTAGTAAAGAAATCAGATATGTTTTCACTGTCTTCCATCTGAAGCAGTTCATAGGTCCTTTTGTGAGTTTGTAACCTCACTTCTTTCACCTTCTCAGCGCCTCCAAAAGACTTCTCAAGGATCTCCCAAGCTTCTTTTGCAGATTCTGAATCACTAACCTTTTCGAAATTGTCTGGGCTGACACATTGATGAATTATAAATAATGCTTTATAACTCAGCTTCTCAGATTCTGTGTATTTCTTCTTTTCTTCTTCTGAAGCGTTTTCGTCAAGCGCTTCGACTCCATCTTTTACAAGGTCCCAAAGACCTTGACACCTGAATAAGATTTTCATCTGTTTGCACCAATTCTCATAGTTGTCAACTTTCAGAATTGGTAGCGTTGCTGGATAGTTTGCATTCCCATAACTTGTCATCGTGAATTCTTCAATCGTTCTTGATTGACACTTCTCTTGAATCGAAACAAAAGCTCTTGATACCAGATGTTGGAAATCCACCTAATTCTATGATGAATTTCTACCACAATGACAATTAATTATGAGAAAAACAAAGAAAAGAAGACAAGACAAATATTTCTGCAGAGTTTCTCTCTGCCCACAAACTGTGAAAAACTTTCTTATTCACTTTGCAACTGCAAAATACTGTGAATGACTTGCTTGGCTTACTTTCAAAATAGGGGTTACTCCCTCTATTTATAACTGAGCTTACACATTAAGCCCAAGGCCCAAAATATCTTTTTGTTACTAAATCAAATCAAATCAAATCTATTCTAGACTTAAATCAAATCTATTTAAATCTAAAACAAATCAAATCTTCTTTGATACATATGAATTACAATTTAACAAAAATTACTATTTAAAATAAATATATTTTATTTTAAAAAAATAATGTCTATTTTCAAACTTTTGAAAATGAATAATAATTTTATTTCTAAATATTCTAATTTTCATAAATTAATTGTTAAGCTTTTAATTTAATGTCTAATTTTTAATTTTTTATTAATATAATATTAATTTTTTAAAATAATATATTTTTAAAATATTTTTTTAAGAATAAATTATTAATTAACTTTTTTTTCCTACCGTTTTTCAATCCAGCTTATATTCAAAAACAAAAATATGAATAGAAGATAAAATATATGATAAGTTTAAGAGTGCTCCAAAGTATTCTAGAGCACTCGTTAAGAAAATATCTTCTATAAAAGTTAATTATTGCTTTTTCAAATAATTTTACCTTAAAGAATGCCTAGCATTTCCTTTTTTTAAACTTATATATCATGATATTTTATTAAATAATAAGGTGAATATTCAAGCTGCCCACATCAAGCTGAACTTTTAATTCTTTCAAATTTGTAGTAAGATTCATACAAACGATTAATCCAATAAAAGAATTAGATTAATTTCAACAGTTTTGGTCGGAAGGATCACGTTTAAGATAGATAGATATATGTAAAACCGGGACATGAATATCCCTTAAAATTCTCTTGTCTAAGAATCTCTATGAAAATTACAGTATTTAGGAAAAACCGATCTAAGGAATTTGCACAACGTGACAAGTGCCAACCACCAAAAGACAACTGGAAAGACAAAAAAAGCATTGTGACGATGAACCAGAGATTATTATCAACAAACTCTACATTTCATTGATGTCTCAGCTCTTGCTAACGTTACAAATTTACCAGAACTTGGAGATTACAACAAAGCAAAATACTCCTCCATACACACACACACACACTAAAATACTGAATCTGTGAGCCAATAGATTTCCATATCAGAATGACGTAGTATAGAATAAATTAAAACAAAACAATAAGAATAAGACTGAGCCAAAGTTTAGCTATTTATTTTTCTCCATTTTTAATTCAACCCTTTTGTACAATCTCATAAAAGACAATGTTTCACATGACTAGGTTAGGTGTTCAAGTTTTGGTTCTTACCACATGCTCTTGTTGAGCTGGGTGTATTATTAAAAACATGCCAATCATCATTTTCTATCACTCTTGGCCACCACCAATAGTCCTTTTGAAACCCAACTACCACTATATACCTCTCTTTTTGGTCGTTTTTGTCGTTATTAGAGGCGTAGGTCCCCTCTACAAGTTTATTATTGTGTTGTATGTGGCCAGCTCATGAGACGATTTTGGAGATATCCTTGCTAGATCTGTTGTATTTCATGTGACTCTTAACTAGCTGCCCAGCTGCAATTGCAGACATGAGTGATAGTTCCCCGGCGAGGACTGATCCGGCTACAATGGTGGCCAGTAGCCTTGAATTTGCGCCGGGAGAATCTTTGCTAGCACCCTTCACACCAAGTAAATTAAGACAAGCGGACTGAGATGCAAGTTGTGTCCCTCCTCCCACAGTACCAACCTGAATCATAAGAGGGATCTTGTCATCATTATACAAAGTCTAGTTAATGATACAATGAAATGGAACGAATTTTTAAAGCTAAAACAGACTGGCTCTAATTCCTGTACCTCAATGGAAGGCATGGTGACAGAAATGTGAAGGTCCTTGCCATCATTCACAGCTTCCATCATGGTAATACAATGAGAACTCTCCACATTCTGAGCAGGATCTTGACCAGTGGCTAAGTAGATAGCAGAGACAATGTTGCTAGCATGAGCATTGAACCCACCAAGTGCACCAGCAATGGCTGAGCCAGTTAGGTTCTTGAGCATGTTTAGCTCAACCAATGCCTCCACATTAGTCTTCAACACTTTCTTCACCACCTCTTCCTTAACTACAGCCTCACACACCACAGACTTACCACGCCCTTCTATCCAGTTCACAGCCGCCGCTTTCTTGTCGGAACAGTAATTTCCTGCCACAACCAAACCAACAGTGCGCATGAAAACATTAGTAACCAATTTCAATTCAACCATAATAAAAAGAACAATATCAGGATTATAGGTGTGCAGGGAAAAAAAAACATATAAACAAACAAGTTAAAGTTAATGTTTTTACCAGAGATTCCGATGACATCCATGTCAGGGAAATCGTTTAGAAGAAAATCAAGGACATTTTGAACACCTTTTGATACCATGTTCATCCCCATGGCATCACCTGTACTGCAACGGAATCTAATGTACAAATTCTTGCCAGCAATAGCAGGCTGAATGCTCTGCAATCTAGCAAATCTACTTGACCTGCACAAATTTATCAAATTATTAATGAACCAACACTAATACATACCAATTTAATCAATCACCCAGTAATCTCCAAAACAGAAATTAATACACATTTGTTAACCTAATAATAATAATAATAATAATTGATAACCAAATTGGAATAATGAAAATAAAATAAGAGAAATTCATACTTGTTGAAAGTGAGAGAAAGAGCCTCAAAATTAAGTGGATCTTCCAAGTAAAACTTCAACTGAGCCGCTCTTTTAGCAGACGAAAACCTAACAACAGGTGCTCTAGTCATTCCATCTCGAAGCAAAACCGACGAAGCTCCACCACAAGCATGAATAGCTTTGCACCCTCTATTAGTACTCGCAACAAGACAACCCTCAGTTGTAGCCATTGGTACAGTATACTCAACTCCATCCAACAGCAATGGACCTGCAACACCAACCGGAATTTGCACAAACCCTATCGGCATCTCACAGCACTGCCCCAATATCGAATCGTAATCAAAACCTTCCAACGGTAAACCCTCCAAAGACTTCCCTGTTATAGTCTGAACCGCCGAACGACGAATGGCCGCCGCTTTTTGACAATCAGCAAGCCTAGATTCCAGCGAGTACGACGGAATTGCACCAGAAACAACCGATTTCACAATCTCCTCGTCTTCGGTTGAGAGATTCAGATTCGCCGGTGCAACAACGTCGTAAATCTTGGGAGACTGAGCTATTGCTGGTTTGGCGTCCGTGTCGGCGCCAACAAGTGCGGCAGGACACGGTCCTGATTTCCTAGAATATTCCTTCTCTTCGTCGGAGAGATCCTCAGGGAAGGAAGCACGGGATCCGACGCCGAAGAAACCTAGTAGATAAACGGCTGATGCTACAAGAGAAACAATAGCGGCGGTTTCCGAAGCAGTGACAACATGAAGAGGAGTTGACGTACGGATCTTCTCGCGCCACCGGTGGAGGAGAAAGTACGCGACGGAAAAAAACAAACCGAAGAAAACAGCATTCGCCATGCAGAGAGAAGCGGCGTGTGATTCGGTGGTGGCGAGCTTCTGGGGTTTTTGGAGTTCGCCGGGGTGAACAGGTGTGGGGAACGAATCTTGATCTCTCCGGCGATGCTCCATTTTCCGACTAATTTTGATCCACGAAATGCAGATACAAAAAAACGAAGGAAAATGGAAGCAAAGAAAAAACCCAGAAAACGAGGGAATTTGCGAGAGAAGAGAAAATGGGAAAGGGGTTTGAATTTTTTTTGTTTGGTAGGTTAGAAAATGAGAGGAAGTGAGAAAATATTGGGAAATGAATGAATGAGAAAATTGGAAAATTGTAACGGTTGTTTATAAGAGAGAGAGAGTTGAGAATAGAAAAATGGTTGGCGCGGTGTTTTCTTTGCCCACGAGTACTGCGTGTGATCCTTCTTTGAATTTTATTTGAAGTTTGAACGGCACATTATTATATGTCACTCTCCACATGCAACGTGCAAAAAACATTTGTATTGTATTTTTTTAAGATATATATGCATGATGATGGTGCTAATAATTGAAGTATAGGTTTATTGAAAATTTACGAACTCGTATTCCATGCTGCGGTTACGAAATAATAAAATAATAAATTAAGTCGGTTATTTAAGGGATGATAATGGAGTGAATTGTCAATTCCATTTTGTGAAGGAGAATTCTATGGTGTTATCATATTGACTTTTTTGAAAATGTTATAATTCTGGCAAATTACAAAGATTTTTGAAACCCTATTATGTCATTTAGGACGATGCTATACATCTGATTTATTATTTTTTCCATTTCAAAATGACCATCGGTTAAAATTTTTACATAGATTAAAAAAATATTATCATAAGATATTACATTTTTATAAAATTAACCTTATTAATATATTAAAAGTGGTGTCTAAAATAAAAAATAAATGACATAATTGAAAAAATGATCATCATTATTACATCGAAAAGGGAAAATGAAAGTTATTTTGAAACAAATTTTATTTGATAAAACGACCATCATTTTGAAACGGATGGAGTATATAATTTTATAATTATTAATATTGCAATTAAGTCCTAACATATTTACAACTAAGTCTCATTCATTATTCATTCAATATAATTATATTTTAACTTCAACATTGACTTTTTAACAAAATCAAAATTAATTCAACTACTGAAATAACTTCATTTATTTCAGTTCATCTTCTTTCCCCAACCAACACAACTTCATCTTTTACAACTTCATCTTCTGCAAGTTCATCTTTTACAACTTCATCTTCTTTACTATCCACATTCATCTCCATCCAAGACAATCGTAAAACGACCAGTAACGAACGCACGTTTCATTTTCGTCTTTCACAATCGTGACTTTTCTTCCCTATAACACTATTCAACGAGCGAACCTTTAATAGTATCTCATTCAGTCGCGCTCCTCACACAGTTCGTATTGATTCCCGATTTGTTAAGGTAATTAGGTTTAATATTTAATGATTTCAAATTCTTATATGATTTCAATTTAGGAATTAGGTTTTGTGATTGATGTTATAATCTAAAATTGGATTTCAAATTTAATGATTCTGATTTTTCAATATGGTAGTAGTTAATTAAGTTGGAAATTTTTTATCTCAATTTGGGATTTTAGTTATATGATTGATGTCAGTGCCTGCACTTGAATTTCAAAATTAAGGGTTTCGATTGTCATTAAGTTAGTTAGTCAATATGTAGGTTAAGATTTCATTTCAATTTGAGAAATAGGTTTTATGATTGGTGTTGACTTATTTTATGTGTTATATATCGGCCGATTTCAGATGGACAACTACGCTCACTTTGTTGGAGTTGATTTGAACAATGTTGATTATAGCAGTTCATCTGATGTTGAATGTAGTTATGATGAAGATGTTAATAATGTTGGTTCCAGTTGTCATCAAAGTTCAAATGATGAAGATGAATATGATAATGACGATGATGAGGAATCAGTTGGACCAGATGTGAGAAATAGTGATGCAGTTGTATGTGATAGAGTAGTGAGTGTAAGTTTGATTATTTTTGATGAAATTCGTGCTTTGGAATTTGGAAATGTGAGTGAAGCTTATGAATTTTATTATACGTATGGAAAATGTAAAGGTTTTTCCATTAGGAAAAGCGATGTTAGGCAGAGAGGGCTTGTAGGTAGTGAAATAATAGTAATGAGGCAGTATGTATGCAACAAATATGAATCAAGAGACAAGAAGCACATATATAGGGTAGATAGGAAAAGAGAGAACCGACTAATGACCTGTACTAGTTGCGAAACTAGGCTCCGTGTGCACTACAATAACAAAAAGGGAAAATATGTAGTGTCAATTTTTGAAGAGGCTCATAAACATGAATTAACCCCAGCAAAGTTTGTGCATTTACGCCCCAGTTATCGTTAAATATTTGAGGAAGATAGAGCTAAAATTGATGGTCTTCAATCATATTGAATCAAAACGTGTCACAAACTTAACCAGTTGCCACAAAAGTTCATCCCAAGTCAGTTCTCCCACCGCGTTACAAGGAGAATGATCTTGAACAAAATACTTGGGTTGCCAAAACATATGAAAATAAGTCATTTTGGACAACTGCTTATCTACGCGATAAGTTTTTTGGTCGTATAAGAACTATATCTCAATGTGAAGTTGTTAATGTAATAATCAAGACTTATGTAAGGAAAAAAGGGTGCATTTTTTAATTTATACATAATTTTGATCAGGAATTGAAAGAGTACGGAAATAATGAACTTGTTGCTGATTTTAAATCAAAGTGTTCAGATCCTGTGTTGACAACTCATCTGCGTCGGATTGAGACTGATGCTTCTAAAATTTATACAACAGAGATTTTTAAAGAAGTAAAAGAAGAAATTATGAAGGATGGTGCATTAATTATGAAGGAGTGATTATCAGAAGGGGAAACAGTTGTTTTTACATTGACAAAATATTGTGAGGCTTGGTTTAAAAGAGATGTTGTATATGATGCTTCAGATAAAACATTACGATGTTCGTGTAAATTATTTTATTCACGTGGACTACCATGTTCACACAGTTTTTTATGCCATGAAGGAATAGAATATGGATTACATTCCTAGTAGTTTGGTATTGTCGCGTTGGACGAAGAATGCCAAAATTTGGTGTCTGAACATGAACTATAATGGGGAAGTAGATTCAAATCTGATTGAGTAGGCTCATTTTTGGGCTTATTGTTATGTTTTTTACAAATTTTTGAAGAGAAACATCAAGATAGAGTGGTGTTTATGCGGATCTAATGGATGACATAATGAATCTTCAGAGAAAGTATTGTAATTTCGACGAATCTATTGGTGCCAAAAAGTCATCTGTAGGTGATCCGATTACAGTGAAGACCAAAGGTGCTCCAAAGAGAAAAAGATTGAAGCAAAACCAACCAGACACTACAAAAACTGCAATAGTACCACTCATGATGCGAGGAATTGTTCGGTAATAAATACCTTCTTTATGATCGGATTCTTATTCTATATATATCTTGCATTGGATATTATATTCTAGCTATTTTGATAATTTTTCTAGGACACACAAGACGGAACATCTGATCAGAATGTTGTGCTCGAGTCAATGCCGATAAATGATTCTTTAAGCATAATACAAAAGGTATATTCAGTTTTGTTAAATTGTGTTATGTTTACAATTGTTTTGAAATATTTATTGAATTTGTATATATAGAAAAATAAAAGGAAATCCAACTGCAATGTTAGCAGTAGCAGGCAAAAAAAACATTCACAAACACCATAAAGTCAATGTGGTAATATTGAAATGACGCCACATATGGATGTTACAAGCAAACATGTAAATACAATGTTTGGACTTCAACCTATGATACTTGTTGGACAACCTGTAATGCATCAAATTCCTGTGGTACAACCCATGTACCCAATATATGGAATACTGGTTGGGGAAAATCCTTCGTGCTTTGATCTGTTGCAACATGTAATGAAATTTGGTGGTCATTAGTGTGGGTTTTTTTATGACTATCCAATGCTAGTACAACATTTAGTGTTTTTAAATAGACATCATGACTAATGAATAATTATGTTTAGGTTGTAATGTGATTTTTTTATGGTTAAGTTTGTGAGGAATAATTAAGTTTGGGGTGTAATAAAATTCTGAAGTAGTATATGCTTCATACAGTTTAATTAGCATTCGTATTAGGTTTGTGAAAAAAAATTGATAGTGGTTCTATCAATTTGGACTCATAAAAAAAATTGTATTAGGTATGTGAAAAAAATTTGGGCCCAGTATAAAAAAAATATTATTAACATTTCAATCGGGTTCTGTGTAAACAAATATTATGAACATTCCAATCGGGCCTAATTATAATTTTTAGGTAAGCTTGGGTATGGTTTTCAACACAAATTACTTTAAAAGAAGGCAATCAATTTTTTTACTAAATAATACACATTGCCAAGTGCATTACATCCAAATTAATATTCATTACAAGAACAAACCTACATTCCATCCAAAATTACCCTCCGAAAAATAAAGTATCAAAGAAAGTTATCTTAGCTACAACATCTTTGGTTAACCCAAAAAAATCCCTCAAAGTTTCCCATCCGTTAAACAACCTTGACGCAACCATATTTCCATTAAAGTGCATCACATGGTTATAACCGCCTGTATCATAAACTCTCCATCATGCCGATAAAATGTCTATGAAATAATTCACAAACATAGGATTAATTTCACCTTCAGCCTGAAATAAATTAAATAGTATCAAAATTACATAAAAAACATTAAAAACCTAAACGTTGGACATTTAAAGGGAGACATGAATAGTACCTGGTCCGTTAGTATGGAATAAAAGGAACCTAAAGCCTGCAGTTTTTCACATATAATGTAAAAGTCGATATTTCCCTTATATTCAAAATGAACAATATCTTGAATCTGAAGTCACATGCGGTCCATAATCTCTTTCCAACTTTTTCTTTTAATAGTACTTGGCTATGTCATGTGTATGTCACAGACCAGACGAAAATAATTGTCGATATCATTGTACACGTGAAAAAATTTGGACTTTGAGAGATCAACATAATGTTGTTGGTAGAAGAAGAGAGGGGCCTCAATTTTAATCTTCAAATAAAGACAAGACATCAACAAACATTATGTAATATAGTACTACTACAAAAATAGTGTAACAAAAATTTTAAAAATGCAGAAAACTTACCCCTCTCCTTTCATAAGTGTAAGGCCAAGATACATGGGTTGATTGGCTGAGAATTTGTTTCATCCACGACATTGTTGTTGATTAATAAAGATGAATGAAGAAGTGTGTATTTTTGGTAAGGAAGGTGAATAAAAAATGAAGTCTTATGGAAGTCGCATATCAATGACATTTCATAGTGGTGTTTTAAATGATTTCAAAGCCAATGATGTCTTGATAGTTGTGTTGAGACGATTGGTTTCTATAAGTTGAAGCAGTTTTTTTTTTACAGTTAGGAATTTGGAAGAGCTTTGTTGCATTTAAAACACATGAAGTTAAAAAAATTGTTGTGGAATTACACCATGACGGTTTGGAATAATTATTGACTTAAAATACATTTATTATTTTATTTTAATTTTAATTGCAGCAACATGCCTTGGATGGTGTTGTACCCCAAAATTTTCCCTCCCATTTTTACCCAAAGCATGCTCCTAGAGATCCTCAATTGCTCAAAGTAGACCAAGAATTGACCAGACAAATTATCCTCCTAAGCAATGAACCTCTAGCTAGGGTTTCACTTTTCATCAAGATGTGTGAGCTCCAAAGGTCCCAAATGTTTTCCATGGTCCTATTAAGCCTTCAAGATTGTCCATGACAAATTTCATGCCTTGCAGTACAAGTTTGCTCAATCAATTGCTCAAATGTTAGAAAATCAACTATGTTAGGTCAAAAGTCAACTGTGGCCCAAATACAGTCAAACTTCATGATTTTTGGTCAACATCAGAATTTTGAAGTGATGTCCATAATTTGATCAAGGGTTGATCATGATTCCTCAAGAAATGTCCCTAATTCATCAAAAGTCAAGAATTGCTAAATTAGCACTACGCCAAAAATGATTTTTTGTATCACCTAATTTAATAGCACTTTTAAAAAAAATGCTATTAAAATGGAAAAAACACATTTATAATAGCACTTTTTAATCGGGCGCTATTATATAATACAGACTATGTAATTTTGATAGCACTTTGTACCAAAACGCTATTATTAAACTTCTTTAAGATAGCACTTTGTACCAAAACGCTATTATTTGACTACCTATATAATAGCATTTATTAAAAAGCGCTATGTTATATATAATAATGAATTAATTAATTAATTGATAAAAAAAAAAAACATTGGTATTATTGATATAAATTGGGGATTTGGCGCACAAAGAGAAAAAGAAGAAGAAGTTTGGAAAGTGAAAATCGAAAAGAATGGACGATTACACGAGAGAGATGATGGACCTCAAAACCCTCGTGACTCGCACTCTTGAGAAGAAAGGCGTTCTCGCTAGGATCCGAGTATTTCATTGTTCTTCTCCCTTTTCTTCATTTTTAGGGTTTTCTTATTCAGATCCATAATTTTCAATTCTTCTTCATGTTTCAGGCTGAATTAAGAGCTAGTGTCTTTGAAGCTATCGAAGAAGAAGATCGTGTCATCGAAAAGGATCAAGCTCTGCCTCCTGCATTGTTAGGTAGCTGTAACGATCGTGCTAAACAGCTTCACGCTTCTCCTTCTGGTAATTCACCTTTTTCATACTCATTTTCTGTTTATATGCTCTATGGAATCCAGGAATTGGTGTTGTTTTTCACAGGAATTGGATATTGATAGCTAACTTGTGTTGAGCTTCATAAATATCTGTCTGGTTATTTGAATTGGGGTTTTTATGGTTCATGGTGGCCATTCTTCAAAACTCATGAGGTTTTTGTGGGAATTTACAGCCGTGAACTTACACATCGGGTGAAATCAGTTTCAATGGCTAACTTTACTTCGCAAGAAGTTACTGCACTTCAAGAAGGAGGGAATCAGGTTTCCATGCCTTTTTGTGCGAAAACTTGTGCTGTTTATTTTTTCAGTCTGCATGATATCATATATTTCTTGAAGTTTATTTCAGCTTTATCTAATACTTGCAGCGTGCAAGAAATGTTTATTTTAAAGAATGGGATGGACAACAGCATTCTTTCCCTGACAGTGAGTAAGTACTTGCTTGTACATTTTAATATATTGCTGCAGAGTGCATTATTCATTTATTCTGTCATAACTTGTTATGGAATAGCATTAGTTTTGGCATTAGTTTTCTTCCATTTCCAACTCCTGGCCATATGATTCCTATGATAGACACAGCAAGGCTATTTGCCAAACAAGGTGTTAATGTAACCATCATCGCCACACATGCCAATGCTTCAACCTTCCAAAAAACCATTGACACTGACTTCAGTTCAGGATACTCCATCAAAACTCGGCTTATTCAGTTCCCTTCAGCTCAAGTTGGTCTCTCTGATGGTGTTGAGAACATCAAAGATGGCACTTCTCTTGAAATGCTTGGTAAAATCAGCCATGGAATATGGATGCTCCAAAATCCAATCGAGGTACTGTTTCAAGATCTTCAACCAGATTGCATAGTCACTGATATGATGTATGCTTGGACTGCGGAAGCAGCTCAAAAACTAAACATTCCAAGGATTTACTATTACAGCTCAAGCTATTTCTCCAACTGTGCAGCTCACTTTATCATGAAGTATAGACCACATGATAATTTAGTTTCTGATACGCAAAAATTCAAAATTCCTGGTTTGCCTCATACCATTGAGATGACCCCTCTGCAGATTCCTGATTGGGTAAGGGAGAAGAATGCCGCCACAGCCTATTTTGAACCAATGTTCAAATCTGAGGTAAGAAGCTATGGGACACTATACAATAGTTTTCATGAACTTGAAAGTGAATATGAGAAGCTTAGTAAAACTAGAATGGGGATCAAATCATGGAGTGTTGGACCAGTTTCTGCTTGGGCTAACAAGGATAATGAAAGAAAGGTCAATAGGGGACAAATAGAGGAGCTTGGAAAAGAGGCAGAGTGGCTAAATTGGCTTAACTCAAAGCAAAATGAGTCTGTACTTTATGTAAGTTTTGGAAGCCTAACTAGACTCCCTCTCTGTGTTGTTTGTGAGCGTTATGATGTCTTTGTGTTGACGGATATTCGTGATTTTGAGTAGCTGTAATGAGAATCTTAAACATGGCGATGGTGACGACAAGAAGAAAAGAACAACATGGACTGGAGAATAACATAGGTATCTGAAATATTTTACTTCAATTTAGGTTTTGATCATGTACTATTGTCTAACTATGAATTTAAATGTTGTCGGTGTTTCACTGTTTTTACAATGTTGTCGGTGTTTCACAGTTTTTATTTCTTCAATATTTGAAACAGGGAAACAAAATATATTTTGAAGAAGACAAAATAGGAGAACTTGATTCCTGGTGTGGTGTGACTGCAAAAGAAATGATTTTAAGAAATACCTGAAAAAATTATGTTTCAACCTTATTGTAGTGGCTATTCTCATGAAGCAAACTTTTGCCCTTTGTTATTGCATTGTTGATCTGTTTTAGTTTATTCGGTACATCGTTGTTCTATTATTTTTAGTGTATCTTTTCATGATTATACTTCATACCTGTCTTGGCCTGGTGCGCTTTCAGGTTTGATGCTGGTGGTGTTTACAAATTTCAAATATGATGCGGTATGTTTATTTGACACGAAAACGATATTACTGTCACAATTCTCTGATGTACTGTATGTGAAATTTGTGCGATATAGTAACAAGGAGTTTGTGGTTTTCATCATGTAAACGGGGTCATAATGAGATGCAAGAGTGAGTGGGCAGAATTTCAAACTCGCCTCATCAATTCTGATAAAGGGTATCTTACAGGATTTAGAGGAAGTATGACGAGTTAACATATACTGTTTCCAATTCTGATGTACGTGCATTACTTATATTGATAGACTGCATATAAGTATATTTATCATAGGAAAAAAAGTTACATCTTATATGTATGGCTAATTATCATAAACTACTTGACTTCTGCACCCAATTTTGAACCAAAGCATGCTCACAATAAAGGATTTTGGAGAAGTAGTCTGCATGTGATTCAATATTTGAATGGTTTTGTATCTAAATAGTGCAAGAGTTTCAATTTGCTTTCAGTCATCCACAGTTAGAGTCAATGTAATGAAGAAATTACAAATAGTTAGAGTCGTTGGTGATGGATTTATTGTCGGTGTTCGATCACGGTGGCTGCCGGTGATTATTCTGAGACAAGTTAGTTTTCAACTTTTTTTCCAATTTGCTCTGTTAGTATGATTATGAACTTCGATCGTTTTTCGGGACTACCTGATAACGGAACATTCACTATCGGCTTCACTCCATCAGACACTGATAATCGATTATTCACGTTAGGCATTTGGTTTGCTAGCCTTCCAGGAGATCGAACTTTCGTTTGGTCACCCAATAGGTACATCTGCTATTAACTAATATCACTACTTTCGTATCTTATCCTAGATTTTTCAATAACTGACGTATCTGATACCTGTATCGTGTCCATGTTTCGTTGTTGCACTATCATACTCTCTCAATGAACTGATTAATTTTCTTTTTCAATCCAAACAGAAACTCACCTACATCTCAAGAAGCAATTTTGGAGCTTGACACAACAGGAAACCTCGTCCTCGTCGACAAAAAAGTCACCATATGGGCCTCAAACACATCAAATGCTAATGTAGAATCAGCAACCATCAACTGAACTTTGACCAGGCATAACTTCCACATACTTCATCTATTTTTCCCTAACCAACGCTCATATTAAAGAGAATCTCATTCCCTATAATTTATCTTCAGCCCTCAAGTGCAATAAATGCACCATTTGAAAGATACAAGCTCATACATTACAGGTCATTTTTAGAAAGTCAACAAAAGCCACTTTTTGCCAAGACCTTTTACATCAAGATAACATCTTCAAATGCAAAATTGATAAAAATAGGGAGTGAAGTATATATATTGAGCTTTCCAAAAAAGTCCAAGATCATCATCATGAGATAAAAATTGAGCAAGTTATGGCTTACCCAACTTGGGAAAATTTGGGGAAGTTCAAAAATTAGGCATTGAGCAAACTTGAAGTTTTAGGTCAATGGCTTAATTTCTTGGATTTCAAGCATCTTCCTAAGCTCATAGAGGACCTCTAAAATCATTCTTACCATGCCTTGCATTTTCTAGCCATTTTATTCATATTTATTTTATTTTATTCAAATAAATATAAAATAAAATGTATAAAATAATTAGAGGTTGGTCTTGGCATTTGGGATGGTGTTTTTGGCCAGCCTTCGGCCCAAGAATTCATGCAAGCATGTCCACATTCATTCAAATTTGAAAAAAAGACAAGAATTCCATGTATCTTACCAAAATTCAAATTTTCATTCATGGCCTTGAAGAACATGTTTATGGTCGTTTCATTCTTTGTTTTCTTGTCCCTTCCATCTCCTTTATTTAAGCAACACACTTGCAAGTCAAATGGATACGAATTTACAGCCTAGAGACCACGTTCAAACTTCAAATTTTCAAGAGAAAAACTCCAATTAGTTTTGGAGTTTGAGGCAAATTCAAAGGCTATTGAAGATCAATAAACAATCCTTGAAGGTCACTGAAGGTATTCCAACCAATTCCAGGGCTTGTAGCTTCGTGAAACACTCCCCCAAAGTCACGGTTTGCACTTAGTTTTTCCAAATTTGTTTTCCTCCATTCACTCATTATTAATTAAATTTGCTTGCATATTTTGATTCATGGTGATGCATAGAACGTTTCTGGATGTTTTACTTTGAGTTTGAGTGCAGGTATAAGGATCCACCATTGTTAGGGTTCCGAGCTCCCAATTTGGGGAACCCGATTTAAAGGAAAAATTGGATGAAATTGATGGTGCCAATGAATTCAGGAGGAAGATTGCAAGCGATCTATGGTCTTGGTTGATATTTTTTGTGCGTGTATAACGACTTTGAATTGTGCAGGGCTATAGCCACAAACATAAACTGTCACTATAGGCTTTAGCAACAGAAGTGTCTGTCACTAAAGGTCTGGCTTAATTTGAATAAGGAAGATTACGGTAACCCACACATTGTTGTCTTATTGGCCTATTTGAATCTCAGCGCACGCGTTTTGAAATTTGGGCATAATACTATTTTTTCTTTATATTATTATTGTGTCATTATAATAATGAATGGGTAGGTAGCTCAGATGGCAAGGCATCGTGTGTAAAGGGGTGAGGGCCTGGGTTCGAATCCCAGGTCCAGCATTTTCATCTTTTCTAACATATATGTAGATTCCATGTGTTGCATAGCCAGGAGCTCACCATACGCTTCCAAATCACAACCAGTAGATCCTGATTGATCTAAATTCAAGGGCTTTAACGCGCAGATCACCATGCACCCTCAAGGCCTCATCTCATCAGATCCAAAAACAAGTTTGGGCTTCAACTCTGGGCCAAACGTTTTTTTTTTCAAACAACACCCCTCAATTGCTATTATCTTGGCCCATTTGCATTTTTTTTGTCAATCTTTTTTTGCTTTATTTTTTTTAAAATTTATTTTCTTCATTTATTTAATTGATCAAATTTAATAATAAAATCACAAAAATAATAGGTTAGTTTCTTTTTTAATTAAACTAATTTTCAAAATTAATTATTAATTCAACTTCAACTTTTTTTTTTATAAATTTAAAATAATTTAGAACTTAGGTTTTAATTTATATTCAATTTAATTTCTTTTCATAATAAAAACAATGAATAAATTCTTAATTAATTTCATCTTCTAATTAGACTTTAGGATAATTAACTTAATTATTTTCTTAGATAAAAAAACAAACAAATAAGCAAAAAGATTTTCTTTTAGGGTTTTTAGACGTTATTTTCAATCTCATGCGCGGTTATTTAATTTCACATTTTTATTATTAATGTACTTGCTCATGGTCTGTAATAGTAACTAGGACTTTATTTTCCGCATTTCTCCAATGTACCTCTCACAAAGCCATGTAATAGTGTAGGTTTATATTTCCGCACTTTATATTCTGTAATATATATTAACTGCTAGTAACTAGGCATGTATGATAAGACTGGAATTAAAACGTTAGCAAACCTAACATAAAAGATAAAAAATAACTGAATATAACGCATATTGCACATATACACCTCTAGGGTACCCCACTTCGGTTGCCTTCGGAAATAAAGCAGTCATGTCCCTCGAAATGGGGACACTTTAGCAAAGACCTGTAAATCAAAAAGATCATAGTCCATCGACGACCCTACAGTTGCCTCTCGGTAAATGATCTAGTCCCTAAACAAAATTGCTAAAGTGTCTCCACAAGTTGCCTTCGTGACTGTAACGTCCCTTCAAATGTCCCTCAAACATCCAACGATACAGCTACCTACTCACTAATAGCAGGATAACGTTGTCTAAAGGATAAGAGGAAAAGAATAACCTTTTTCGAGTACAAAGTAGATAGTTGTTAGAAGTTTGCTCAAAACATTTTGCACTTACTCAAATACTACTTTTCAAAAACATTTTTCAAAACACTTTGTATACTTTCTCCACTATCTCGAGAAACATTACAAAGTTCTCTGTACTAAGGCATTCTCAAAACATTTTCAAACACGCAAAGCACAAAGGTATTTCAAAATGAGCAAACCTCTAAGAGCCCGTAGATAACTACGGATGGAAAGGGTGCTAACACCTTCCCTTTCCATAATCTACCCCCCTTACTCAGAATAATCTCGAAAAGGTATTTTTCTGTTATTTTCACCCTTTCCTTAATTTGGATAAAAGAAAAGTCGGTGGCGACTCTTGCTTACCGCAACATTTGCAAACGCAAAATGCAAAACCAGTATAAACAGTCGGTTCTACCACCGTATCAAAGAACTGGTGACTCTTCTAGGGAATACTTAAAAAGTGGGGTTACCTTAGAGTTAGTTCATTATTTAACTGCACTGCTTTTTTGTGCTTTGTTTGTTTTACCTTTGGAGGGTATGTTTAGATTACTATATCATACACCTAGATCTGGGACACATTTTAGGTAAGTAGCAATAGATCGTGGGGACTGTGCGGAGTATACTGACACGGTTGAAATGATAGCTACGTTGATGTGACACTTTGGTTGGTACCGGTAGCCCTTGAGTAGTC